CCGCTGCACAGCCACCAGCTGCATCTGCGGGGCAACCTGCTGCATCTTCCTATGTGTGGCAGAACCCAACAGCCACGATGCCAGCCACTGAAGTGCAACTGCCTCTGGCAGCCGAATCAGCAGCTACTGATGGGACACCTGCAGCAACGATGCCAGCAGGGTTGCCTGCCAATGAGGCATGGCTGAGGCGCAGAGAGAGATCCATTGAAGCCAGCATGCACTGGCTTCGCACGCCATATGGCAGTTTGCGGGGAAGCCCGCTACGCGCGCGAAGAACCGAGAGCCCAGCGAGTGCGCGCAGCGGTGCCAGTGCCAGATCTCGAAGTGACATGCTACGCACGGTGCCGCTGGTCAAAACATTTGGGCAGACAGCCGTGCGTGCTGATGAGGGCGCCTTTGAGAGCATTCCACTTGCTGAACAGCAGCCCTATAGATATTGAGAGTACCCTTCTGCATGGATTGTCCAGCATTATCCTATCACAGAAGAAGAAGCCAGGGGGTGCATGAACGTCTTCGCTTCTTTGACGAGGGATCTGTGGACGTTGGATCAAAGGCGCCGTCAGGGCATGCACGGCGCGAGCCTGTCCGCTGTACCCGGCATGCTCGGTGAACGACATGAGTTGGCCCTGGCAGCGAACGGTGGAACCATGGTGGATGGAATGCTGATTATCCTATTGGACAATGGCAGCTACATCAACATAATTGGTTCGAAAAAACTCCACAGGCATTCGAGCGAGTTGCACGCCCCCATGGTCACGACATCAAGAAGCTGGATCTGACAGAGAGGCTGCATGTGTTTGGAGTAAGGCATGGAGCCGCCGTTTGCGACAAGCCGATGCATTGCGACATTGCGCGCAAGGAACGGGGCGACTCCGCGGGGACACCCGCCATTGCCAGCTTAGACACCTACTCAGCCAACGTGGAAGAGGGATCTGGCGAGAATCCCCTTGCAATCCTGGGGCTACGGAGCATGTCAAACACGCGCGCTATCTTGATCCTTGAACAGGGACATGAGAAGATGACCATCCCAGGTACAGACATGCACAGGTTCCTCCTTGGCACAGGCGCCGGGGAGCTGGACTTGGCAAAGACACCGCCAGGGCGCTTGGCGATTAAGGTCGACGAGTACGGGGTCGCAACAGAGGCCAATGGCTCGACGGCGCCCACTGCCGCAGCCAACCCTCGGCGCGAGGAGACACCCGTACTCGCGGAGCCGATGGCGGGGCAACTTGCATACGGCAATGCGGGGGCGCCCGCCCCAAAGGATGCTTACGCATATATGGTGCCCCAGGACGCAAGGGGCATCACTCCATCAACGAGGAGACGCTTTCTTATACGATCCAGTCGATGGTGAACAACACCCTCAAGACCTGTCCTCGCAGGAGTACGTTGTATGGGGACAGCCCCACGCCTGCCGATCAGGACTTTGCCTTGCGGAACTTGCAGGCGAAGATGCATCGGGCCATCTACGGAGAGGGCAGCAAGCGGGCGCCGCCCGACGACGTTGCGGGGCAACCTGCTGCATTTAGCGACACTGCCGATACATATGACATCTTCACTTCGAGCAGTTGCTCACGGGGCCCAGGGCGCGGGCGCCTGGACGCCCCCATCGCTTGAAAATGAGTGACGGGGGCAGGCGCGCGCCCAGACAGGCCAACACTGAGGCGCTGTCTTCTGGCGCGGGGATAAAACAGGTCCGCCCTATACAACGCCCCGAATTCACCGGCGCAGACGCTGACGCCAAGGCATCGAAGATGGTCACTGACATGTTTGTCAGCCTCAGAGGCGCTTTGGCTTACACGTGAATCACACAGGTGTGGTTGATGGCATATGTTGCATCCCTACAGCGCGCCCAAGAACCGACCAACATGCAAGTGCAACGACTGAACGCGATTACCAGAAAGTTGCAGGCTTGCCCGAAGAAGATCCCCTACCAATCGATGGCCTCAACCGGCGGGGTCGACCTGCACAGCGACTCTGGTTACCGGAGTCTTAATGGAGATGCCGAGGACGAGGTCAAAAACTACGGCGTTCGCGGGGCAAGCCTGATACGGCGTGGAAACACGCCTGCTGGCAAGCCCGTCGTCCATCTTATCGACGCGCAGTGCAAGTCTCACCGCTTGCTGGTCCGCTCGAGCTACTCAGCGGAAACACTGGCAGCAGCTCGCAACTTGGAGGGCAGCTATCCTACGATCGCCATTCTGCATGAACTCCACGCAGGGCCGCTGACACCCACTCAGTTGAGATATATACTTGAGATGGGCGGCCTGAGCATTAAGGTCACTTTGACCATCGATGCAGAGTATGTCTTCAAGTCCCTGTCAAGCAAAGACCTGAAGGAACCGACCGAGTGCATTGTTTCGGGACACATCAGTTGGATACGACAGATGATGGAGCGAGGTATCGTGCATAGTGCACAGTGGCGTGACATTCGCGACATGACTGCGGACGGCCACACCAAATGGAGCATCGACAGACATATGCTCTTACAGGTCATGGGAGGAACGCAATCCTTCAAGCACGACTTAAACGACACACTCCGCACAGGGCTGGCCAGACAAGATCTTCTGAGCCGCCTGAGGAGCAATCGCCTGCAAGGTGACTTGCCTGCGAGGCAACGAACTTTGAAGGGCACTTGCGTGCGGGTCAACCTTCCTTGTTGAGCCCGCCTGCTGCTGCATACCTTGCACATGTAGTGTTCTACTGTATAGCAGGCGGCGGACTCACGCTTCGTCTCCCCCCCCCCCAGACTTGAAAGGAGGCTGGGGCAAAGGCGAGAGATAGCGAGCGTTTGTCCGCGGCCGTTTGTTCTCAAGCGGCCGGCCGCCAGCATATGATTGCGCCTCATCGCGAGGCACACTAGTTGCCATCGGGACCGAAAACATATTCGCTGGACATCGCGCGTCGTTCCTTCGACGATCTCCTACATCTGGGATTATCGCTACTACGTGACAACAGAGTTGGAGATGAGCTTCGCCTTAGGCGAAGCGTCTGGTTGAGCCTCCCAACCCCCTTTCAAACTTTGACACCTAGCACACACATTTCCACGCGACTCCCAGATTTCTCGGGGTGGAATTCTGGAGTGGCTGTGGCCGTGGGTTGTCAGCTGCGGGCCCCCGCTCGAACGGGAACCCCGCTCGAAGCCCGACAACCCGCACCCATACTTTTAAGTCGGGCCTGTCCTTCTCCAAGAGGAATATTCAAAGTTGCAAAATAATGGTATGGGAACGATTGTTGGGCATTGTTTGGTAATGTTTTGAATATGTTTGGATTATTTTTGATGTTTCGTCCAAAATCCCCCTGTAGGGAGACATGCCCGACCTGACCATACTTGCAGCACGCCCTCACGCCGCGAGGCGCGGGTCCCTGCGAGGTCTCCCTCTTGAGCCTCTCTGGGGGCCCTCCTGCTTGCCTCTTTGTGGCAGTATTCGGGGCCTCCCGGGCCGTCCATTTACAAGGGAAGATTTAAAAATAGTTAAAAATAGTCAGGGGCGATGTTTTGATCATTCTTGAATTTGTTTTGAAAATTTGTTTGGTACTTTTAAATTTTTTGTGTCCCAGATCCGCCTGTAGGGGGCCCGACCTAATTCTTGTGGCGTCTCCGGGCCCTCTTGGGGACCTCTTGGGCCGATTTGGGTGTGCCGTTTGCAAACCGTCTTGGAGTCTCGGAAGCCCGAGAAGGCGAGAGCGCGAAAGACGATTTCAAAAAAGGGGAGTTCCGTAGCTTCTGCGTACCGGGCCTTCTTGGGGGCACTCTTGGGGCGTCTTGGGGTTGTCTTGGGCCGTCTTGAGGCCATCTTGGGGGTTCTTCAGGCCCCTCCGGCGTGCTGGAGCCCTTCTAATAGCCATATTGGGAAGCGTTTGGGGCACCTTGGCAACCACGGAGAGTGAACTTGGAGGCTGCGAGAGCCCCGGGGGCTCCTCGCTTGTGGTAGTCCGAAGTTGGCCAGCGTGGGCGCTGCTCTGTTTTGCTTTTCTCCGACGTGTTGGTTCCGCTTGTGCGGAGCTGGCCTTGGAGCTTCTCATTCGCATGCGGCCTTCGTGCTTTGTCCCACGTCTGCTGCGAGGGAGAAAAATATAAAAAAGGCGCGTTGACCAGCTCGTTCTGGACCCCCTCCCCCCCTCCCCCTTTCTAACGGGATTTTGGACCCCAGGGCAGGGAGGAAAGGTGAAGGGAGACAGCCAAATGTCTCACACGAATTTGCGTCCGCAACAAGCGGGGGTCGGTGGATTGGATCGGTTCGTTCACTCCGCCGGCCCTTATTGAATCATTCTTGGCAGCTGGTCGTGATCAGAAGTGCCGTGGGTGAGAAGGTGATGCCAAGATGGGCTACACATGCGAATGCGAAGCGACGAACGATCAGCCGATTTAGCCTCATCGAATTGTAAGTTCGCGGTTATGTAGAAATGCCAGCCCGACTTCTCCATCGGAGATCGAAAATTCCAAATGGCTAAGAAGATGCGTGTGCAACAGGGACGTGCATGTCAGTCTCGTCCGTTTCATTTCGGGTAGAATGGCCAGGCTGAAAATGGACTGGGCAACGCGGCGCGGCCTCCTCCTCCTTCTCCATCGTCCTACTCGTGCATCCTCATATTATTATTGTTCGCATTAGCATCTGTAGTCGTATTATAAGTATGTCTCGCATATGTGTATTATGATTGCGATCGCTAGCAGAGCAGTAGCAGTTCCTTTGTTAGTCGTATAAGTAGTATGGGTTTCCGTGATTATCAGTATTACTTACCAGTTTTGTTCTTGCAATTATTAGTATGATTCATGCTCTTGTGGTTAGTCTTTTGAAGTGCAATCATTATTAGCGTGCGTACTATTATTATTTTTCTTCCCTCCCGACACGTCGACCTCTTCGTTGCTCCTCCTCATTTACCGTTCGTCGTTCTCCCTTCTCCTCCTCATCATGGCTCTTCCTTCTCCTCCTCGTCCTCCTCGCTCATCCTCCGCCTCCTCCTCCTCCGCCTAATCCTCAGTATCCCTCCCCGCCGAGGCCCAGCGACGAGGATCGCGGCCAGGCCTGCCAGCCCGTACCCACGAGCCTGCAGGACGTGATATGGGGGCGAGCTTGCAGCGTAGGTGCAGTGCGTTTGAGACCTTCACCGTTCTTCTCGCACAGCTGTTTTTCATCTTGCTCTGGCTCCTCCAGCGCCTCGTCCTGTTCCGACGACAGCCCTTCCGCTCCAGCATCCTCACAATCCTTCTCAACTCGCCCCCCCTCCCTCCATTTGTTTATCCCGTTTCTCATCCTGCGTCTCAGTATTCCGCTTCTTCATCCTGCACTACTCTTCACCATTCTCCTCCTCCTCCTCCCTTATCCTTCTCCTCCTCATCCTCCTCATCTAAACTCCTCCTCCTCATCCTCCTCCTCATCCTCCTCATCCGCCTCTTCCTCCCACCCGGATGTTGCAAATGTGGCCCAAGTGCGTTTGAGCGGGCCAGTGATTAGAGTTTCTTGTCTCGAAAGCCCCAATCCATGATTGGATACCGCGTGCTGCACTGGGTGCCCAAATGGGACGAGCCCCCCTGCCAAGTACACTCGCGCCGTCGGGGCATCTTACGACCAAGTCATGTCGTCGCGACCGCTGGTGCAGACGGTTTCCAGGTTTCCGTTCGGCCACCACTGGTGCGTCCCGCCGAAGGGGATGTTTCCGTGATGGCCCGCGTGCTCCCCTGAGCATGCTGGAGATCTGGGCGGACGGCATGGACACCGAGTTGAGCGTGATGTATTTGGGCATGCGGGGACCCGCGGCGAAGCAAACGCTGTTAGAGGGCAAGGAGTGGACGGTGGGCCACTGTCGACGCCCGCTCGCCCGTGGAACAGGTGCACGCATGTGGTCGGCGGGCTCCCCGCCGACGCGTGGCGACTTGAGGTCGCCTCGGCAGTGGTTCAGATCACGACTGGCGTTCGTGAGGGGGGGGGGGGACGTTCACGTGTGGCTTGGCCACGGCTGTAAGCAAAGCGGATCGTCATAGTATTGGCGGCATGTGGAAGTGGTTTAAGGACGGCAGAGCTCGCCGTTTCAGCCAGGCCTACCCGCAGGGGATCACGATTTTTCCGATGACGTCGGAATCGCCGAAGCCGCAGGACCTGAATGAGGAGCACAGTTTTGAATTGTTCTCGCGGGTGTCCCTCTACCCCGCGAAGACGGCGTTGCCCAATTGGGTCCAGGGAGTTTGGTTTGGCGATGTGTTGGAGCATGCTTCTACGTCTGTACCACACAGGGGCGCGTGAAGGCTCAGCCAAGCTGTCAAACCTTGCCCCTGGAAGCGTCCTGACGAAAGGTGGCGACGGCATTCTATTCCTGCACCAGGACTAGTCACATCAGAGTTCTCACGACGGCTGCATTGTGATGGCCAGGTTTGCGGAGATGGCCCAAGGCATTCAAAGCTAACCTCCACCATTCGCTACCACCACTGCACACCACATCACCATCCATATTTCCAGCCCGTCTCATCCGCATCCTCATCATCAACACCACTACCGTCGTCGTGGTCATCATCATCCTCATCATCGTCAGCATCATCAGCATCATCATCTTCTTCACCATCAGCATCAACAGCATCAACAGCATCATCATCTTCTTCATCAACATCAGCATCAACAGCATCAACATCATCATCGGCATCGGCATCGACATCATCATAATCATCGCCACCATCATTACCATCCTCATAATCTTCATCATTGTCCTCTTCATCATCATCAAGCGCGTCATTATTTGCAGCAGCATCATCCTCATCTTATCATGATCAGCATCAGCATCATCATCCTCACCATCACCATCATTGTCATTAATACCATAACCACGTAATCATCGCCATCCTCATCATCCTCGTCGTCACCATCATCAGATTCTTCCTCGTATTCCTCCTCATACTACTCCGCAAGCAGGTGGCGGCCTACCCAGAGTGCGAGCACGTGAGTAGCGCAGGCACCCTGGAGCCATTCTCAGGCCGACGTCTACGGGTTGCGCGAAACTGGCGCTTCAGCCGAGGCCCGAGGATGATCGCGCTCGCGCGCTAGCCCATTTCGCGCTCGAGGGGAGGGGCTACGCTGCGTCCTTGGCCACGAACTGGTGGGAAGAAGAAATGCTGCAAGTTGCGTGTGTGTGTGTGTGATCGAGTGTTACCAGCCTGGAACACATCCCTGTCCCTATGCGGGGCATCTCCTCATCACGAGGCCAATCTTAGGGATTCCCTTATTTTTTGAGGGCGCATCCCTAAGATTGTCATCGCCTTTTGGCGTGTCAGTCTTAGGGATAGGGATAAGTTCGAGGCTGGTAAAAGTGTGGTTGCACCGGGAGCGCGGCCCCATCACGACGCGCCTTCCCCGCCCCCTACTGTTCTACTGTTCACTGTTGGCCTTGGTGCGGCACCCCGAGCCCGGGAGGACAGCAGATTGCAAGTCAGCATTGAGAAACAAACGAAAAAATAGAAACAACAATAACAAAAAATAGATTGCAGGTCAGTATTGGCATCTGGGAGGGGAAGTGCTGCAAAGCTTGGCATCCCGTCGGGCCGAGACGGCTCCGCGTTCGAGGCCGGGCACGAGAGCCACGTGGGCGCGGGCGGGGCCCTCGCGGTGCCGCGCGCCGCGAGTTGGCACTCCGCTGTTGGCCAAGCTGTGCGAGAGCTCCGTCTACATCAGCGGCAGCGAGTTCATGGCGCTGGTCATGCTTGTGAGCTACGCAGTGCCCATCATGGCGGCGGCGGTGGACTCCATTTCCGCCCACCGAGGCGTGATGGAGCAGAGCCAAGCCGCCACCACGCGCTACGAATACGCCTGGTCGCACCTGCAGCGGGTGCTGTGGCGCAAGATCGACGAGTCTGGCGGGGCTCTGCGAGAGAAGGCTCCAACGTAGCCGCTTTGGAGCGCACGGCCGCTGGTCAGCGCGATGTCACGAAGTCTTTCCCATGTGCCGCTGAAGGTGCCAAGGAAGAGACGTCGAGATGAGCAGCAGGCTGCGTCGGCGAAGATGAACCGAGAAAAGACATGACCATGAAAAGCAGCGTTTGTCGAAGTTGCTTGCTGCGTGTCGATCCCTTCACAGGGGCCCCATCGAGGGCCTCTTTGTGGCGTTTCGGGGGTCTTTTGGGGGGTTCTTCGGGGCTTCTCGGGGTCGTCGCGGGGCCTCATGAAAGTTCGTGCTCGTGTGTGTATATATATATATAAATAGCAAGACTGCAGTGGCGCTTCGCGCCATGATGCGCCTTGTTACGGACCCTCCCTGGCAAAGCATTAAACCATCGCTTGCTTCAGCAGGGGGGACCTCGGGGCCTGGACGGGCGACCGGCTTATTTTTCTGATATCCTTGGTGTTTGCTGACACCGCGTTCGCCCGATGCGCTTGCACGCTTGTGCGCAGGAGCGGGGAAGGAATGAGTTTTTTTCGCGCGCGAAGGTCCTTTGAGGAAGTAAGGAGCGTTCCCATGACACGCCGAAGAAGTCGCAGTAGCTCCGAAGAAATATATCTTTAGTCGTTTCCTGAATGCGTGGGGGCCCCAAAACTTCGAATCTAGATCCTTTGCCTGTCTCTCTCGGTCGAGGAACTTAAACCTCGAGCCTCAAGCGTGGAACCAAGATCGTCGGGTCAGCTCGATGTACTTCGTTGGAGAAAAAACGTCGTCTGGGCGTTTTCGGAGCTATTTAGGGGCCGTCCTGGGGCCCTCTTGGGCCGTCCTGGGGCCTTCTTGGACCATCATAAGGGAGTTGGGGCCATCCATCTAGGGCTGTTTCGGGGGCCTCCAATGGCCTTCTTGGGGGTCTCCCATGGCGTTCGTGGGTCTCTCTTGGGAGCCTTCTGGGGGCATCTTGGGTTTCTTGTGGGCAGTCTCGGGGCTCTCTGGGGCAGTTTTGGGGCCTTCTTGTGCAGTCTTCAAACCCTCTGGGGGTTCTCTTGGGCCGTCATGGGGCGATATCGGGGGCCCATCGGGCCGTCTTGGACGCGGCGAAGACCCCACAAACGAATAGGCGAAACATATACATTTTACTTCGGGCATGAGACGATGTTTGCTTTTTCTGGGTTTTCTCATCAGCCTCTTGGGCCGTTTTAGGGGGCCTCTTGGGTCATCTTCAGACCATCGAGGTTCACCTTGGAGCGCGATTGTGCTGTTTTGTGTTTCTTTTGCGCCTCCCCGATGACTCCTCTGATCGCCTTGAGTCTGTTCGCAAGGCCCGGCACGGCGCCCTGGGAGGCCTGGAAGGGCCAGCGGACCTCTTCCAAGGGCGTCCAGGGGGCCGCCAGGACGTCCGAAAGGGCGTCCAGGGCGTCCCTAGGCTGGGGGGGTCCAGTTTTGGGGGGTCCAGGTAACCAAAAGATTGGATTCGGAATCTATACACATATACATAGACATACATACATAAACATATACATATACAAACATATACATCATCATATTCATATACGTATATGCGTATACATATAGTAGGGTTCCACGGGACTCGTGGGAAGTATCCTGGAGTTGTTTGTTGACTTGTTGGCGGCTTCTTGGGAGCCTCCTGGGGCTTATTAGGGGGTCCGTGGTGCCTCTTGGGGGCCCGCTGGGGTCTTCAGAGGCCCTCTTGGGGGCGTCGCGGGGGCCTCCAGGGCCGTTTTGGAACTGTTTGGGGGCCTCTTGAGTCGTCGTGGATGTCGTGAAGACCAACGAGGCGATAACACGCAGTGTACAAAGACCATCGGCGCTGCCATGTTTAACCTCTCGTGGGCTGCATGGAAAGCTTGTTGATGCCCTGTTAGGCGATCGTGAAGCCCCATCGCAACATATCGTGGGGATACATGGAGCCGGGACAGAGACCGCCTTGTCCGACTGGGGGACGAGAGCGGCCGTTTCGGAGCCCATGAGTCGTCACCGTCGCCTTTGACGGCGGTTTCTACCAGCCGCCACGGGGACAAGGGAGGGTGCGGGCAGGCGCCCGGGAGAGGGCACGTGCCATGGAGCCGTGCGCCCGCGTCCGTTACTGGCTAGCTGGTTTCGTTTTTTTTGTGTTGGAGAACCAGGAACACATGGACTTGACTTGCATCCACCAATTGGCGCGCGCGCTGGGTTCGGTGTGTCGGGGGGGCTCAACCTGCTTCACCGGAGGCGGAAGAACCAACAAGGAAGAGCCGCACATTCACACACACACACACACATCCGTTGCCATTTGGCTCAAGCCATTTTGGCTCAAGTAACCGTTCGGCTCAACCCGGTTCGCTGGGCGCGCTCTGGCTCGCGCTGGCCGCGCGCTCGCACCCGGCGATGCCCGGTACGTTCACGCCGGAGGCGGAGCGGAGGCGTGCAGAGGAGGCGGCCCGTGGCGCCCTCCTCGCCGCCCACGCCGCCTCGGGGCTCGCCGCAGGCTGCTCCCCGTCGGGAGTACGCCTCGTGCGGGCCGCCGAGGGCCTCCTGCGCGCCGCGGTGGCAGCCCTGGGCTGCCGCCCCTCGGCGCCTCCTCCTCGTCCTGGCGCCGTGGCCCCTCCGAGGCGGCGGCGGCGCGGGCGCGGCGCAGGAGCCTGCCCGCCAGGCTCGGCGGCGACGGCGCCGTGCGCAGCTTCGTCCTGAGGCGGCCCAGGAGGGAGGAGATGACGGAGGTGGTGTCGTCGGCGACGGCGCTGGCGCGGCGGCCAAGGCGGACGGGGCGGGCCCCAATGCTGCGGCCGAGGCGGTGGGCAGCGGCCGCGCCGACGACCCCCAAGCGGGGGTGGCTACGGACGGAGGCGGCGCTGCTGGCGGGATGCGCGAGGGCCTGGAGCTCGTGCGCGTGCCCGCTGGCATGGACGCATCCGACGGCGACGAGGTCATGAGCGTGCTGTGCGACGAGTGGGCCGACGAGGCCCCCGTGCGGCTCGCCAGGCCGCCCCCGCAGGCGCCGATGCCAGCCGCCCGCGCGATCCCGACACCTGGTGAACGGGTGCGAATCTGCGTGGGCGCCCGGGAGGGGACAGCGGCTGAGGTCCTCTGCATCTTGGAGGATGGCCAGGCCGCTATCAGCCTGCTGGGCATCAACGAGGCCTACAGGCTCCCGCTCTCCTCCCTGGAGCCGCTGGGCGGCGCCAATGGCGCAGGCGGCAGCGGCGGCGATGGCTGAGCCTGGCCAGCGCAAGGCAGACGACGGCAGAGCCTGGCCATTGGAAGGCAGACGTGGGGGGCGCTGCTGGAATTTGGTCTGGAGTGCCGCTCGGTGGTTTCGTTTGGGATGTCTGTCTTGCTTTTTGGTCCCGCCAGTTATCCGTGCGATGCTGGGCGGATGCCCCTTCGTGCCAGGACGCCGTCCCTGGTAGACGTTGGGATGCCTGGCGAGCTGGGACGCAGTCCCCAGTAGTCGTCAGTAGGGCTTCGCTTGGCCGCGTAAGCTGAAGGGAAGGCCAGTTATCCGTACGATGCTGGGCCAGTTTTCTTTCGCCTTCACACTTGTCTGTACCGTTTCGCTGCGCATTCAGAAAAGAGAATGATGGGCCTCAGTCGCCCGAGGCCTCAGTGGCTTCCCCCTGTTCAGGGTTCTGTTCACTTTTGGACGGTTCCTCTCTGACGAGCGGCACACACATCTATACATATATATATATATACACACGCACGCACGCACGCACGCACGCACGCACGCACGCACGCACGCACACACACACACACACACTCTCATACACGCACACACAACGCACACACACACACACGCACACACACACATACACACAACACATACACACAACACACACACACACACGTTTTGGCGTCGCGGCCCCGCGCGCAGCGACGGGGCGTCGAAAAGTCATTGCAGAGGGCGCGCGCGCGCGTCTAGAGGCCGAGTCCTCAAGCCGCTCAACGAGCAGTGCTGCTGTCAGCCATAAGTCATCAGGGCACGGACGACAAGGGGGTCCAACGAGGTAAGCAGATAGCAGACCGGCATAGAAACGACATGCCAAGAGGAGGCAAAGGGGGGCGCAGTGGAAATTATAAGAAGGCCATGACCAGACGACCGGCAGGAGGGCAGGACAAGGCACGAGGAGGCCGAAGGCCAGCAGTGGCGGCGCGGGCACCGCAGAGGCTGCCCCAAGGAGGGAGCAGCGCCGGCAAGCCCGTTGCGGCAGGCAGCCAAGAGGGGGGGGGGCTGGCCCGAAGGCCCACGGGGACGGCCTCTCTCAGGACCCCGCGGAGGAGCGGGCGCGCAAGGGACAAGGAACGAAAGAGACAGGACGGAAAAGGCGAACCGTGCGCAGGAGTGCAGGCACGCAGGCTGATCAGAGCATGCGAACGGTGTGATGGACGGGGTGCTTCGGTGAAGCGGTCCGTGCAGGTGCTCATGCAGTACCGGAGGCATGTTGAGGGCTGTTGGCCAAGTGCAGGGATGGGGGGCCACATGAGTGGACGAGGCGTTGGCAGAAGGAATGTGACAATGCAGGTGCGCAGGCGTGCAGATCCGCCAGGCTGGGTCTCATGAAGCGTTGTCCGGAGTCCCGCAGGAGCTCCTGGGAAATGCCACCCGGCCGCGAGGCCGAGAGTTTGTCGCACCTCCTGCGGGGGTGGTGCCCGAGAGGACAGAGGGGGCTCACGCGGGCTGATCCTTTTGGGTTATGTGGTTGAGGACACACGCTCACAGACAGAGACAGACAGACAGACAGACAGACAGACAGACAGACAGACAGAGACAGACAGGCAGACAGACAGACAGACTGACAGACAGACAGACAGACAGACACACCAGGCGCGGTGGCGAACTGGTATACTTTGTCCGATTTTAGTTTGAATATTGTAGCGGAGACCTCGTGCAGTGGAGCATTCGATCATCAGGACCATTATCATCATGCTCACCATTTTCATCCGCACTTGCATCCGCCTCTTCCCCTTCATCCCCTCTTCCTCCTCGTTATCGTCCTCCTCCTCCTCCTCATCATCTTTCTCCTCCTCATCCTCCTCCTGCTCCTCCTCCTCCTCCTCCTCCTCCTCCTCCTCCCCCCTTCTCTCCTACTACTCCTCACTCCTCACTCCTCTTCATCCTCGTCATCCTCCTCTTTTTCCTCCTCCTGCTCCTCCTCCTCCTCTTCCTCCTGCTACTCCTTCCTACTCCTGCTCCTGCTCCTCCTCCTCCTCCTCCTCCTCCTTCTTGCCTCCCCTTCCCGCACCCCTGCATGCCTGCAGGACCAGGACGATGCGCCAGGCGCCTGTGCCACGGCGAGCGTGATCGGCCGCTGCGACCAGAATGGCGAGACGCAGAGGTCTGCAGGCGGCGGGGATGAGGACACGGAGTGCAGGTGAGGAGGGGGGGAGGGAGGGAGGAGGAGGAGGAGGAGGAGGAGGAGGAGCAGCAGCACCAGCAGGAGGAGGAGGAGGAGGACGAGGACCAGTGCAAACCCAAGGCGCATCAACGATGCTGCCACGCGTGGCGCGCATGCCTCTGCTCTGGCGCGAGGGAGGGCGAGGGTCTGGGCCGGGCGAGCGGGGTGAGGAGGGGGGGGGGGCGGTATTTGGAGCCATCTCGTTGCTCTTTCTGGGGCCGGGGAGGGGGGAGGGGCACGACGAACGAGCGAGGGAACGAGCGACGACTAAAATCAAGGGCTCCGAGCTCTGGAAGAAAGGTTCTGCGGTTCGGGGCGGGGCGGGGCTCAGAGGGGCCAGGGGTGGGCGCCGCGGCCCAGGACGGACGAGGCCTGGAGGGGGGGGCCCAGGAGGGAGGACGAGCGACAACGAAGATGCAGGGCTCCGCGGCCCAGGGGCGGGGGCAGGGCCCAGGGGTGCCAGGGATGGGCTCCGCGGCCCAAGGGCGAACGACCACGGAAATAGGAGGTTCCGCGGACAAGGAGGCCAGGGTGGCCCAGGGTGAAAGACGATGCCAGCGCAAAGAAAGAGGTCGGAGCTCTAAGACACAACTGCGCAAGAGATCACACCCTCCCCACACAGGTTCCCTCCCACACGTCCCCACAAGGGGTAATTTGTACTGAGTGAAGCGCCTCATTGGCAGACAGCCCTCTGAGGATCTTCAGCCGTGCCGAAGCATCATTCCTGCGACTTCCACCTCGGGAGTCGACCTCTGCGTCCTGGCGATATGAAGTCTTGCAAGCAAGCTGTTCTGGGAACTTCGACGCCGCGACGCCACCCCTGGGGCCTCAACCATATGAAGCCGTGAAACTGCTGCGAACGTTCCAGACGAACGTGCGGGGCGCGAGGGCGAGAGCCACAATCTGGAAAGGGGGCCGCCCGCCACCCCTGAAGCTGCTGCACGGTTGTAGGACGAGTGCCGCTTCCAAGCGGCCAGCCCTCCATCCTCGAGGCTGCTGCGAAGTGTTCGGACGAATGCGCACTGCCCTCGGGCGAGAGCAGCGCCTTGATATCAACCCGCCCTGCACGCGTGAAACTGCTGCAAACGTGAAGCTTCGGGATCACACCTTGTCAGGCAGTCATAGGCGAAACGCCGTGGCCGCCCTGCCGACACGTCTGAGCGTGACAAGGAGGAGTGCGGAGGTTGGGGGGTGAGATCGCAGTGGGACGGGGGGCCCCCCACCCGGAAATGCGTCGTGTCACGTTCGTGCTCGTGCCGTGCGTGCGGGCGAGGCGAAGCTGCGTCGGCGCGCTGGAGGAGTGATCCCGCCGTCGCTAGTGTGATTCGGAAGCAGAAGTCTGGCCTTCCGGTGAGCGCGCGGTGGCATAGGGTGTCCCGCCGTGGTGTCTCGCGGTGTCCCGATGGTGTCCCGCGGTGTCCCGCCGTGGGCGCGCGAGAGGAATGACCCCGCCGTTGCTAGGGCGAATGCAAAAGTTCACCCCTCTGGTGGGCGCGCGGTGGCATGGGGTGTCCTGCCGTAGTGTCTCGCGGTGTGTTCCGCCGTGGTGTCCCGATGGTGTGTGGTGTCCCGTGCTGTCCCGTGGTGTCCCGCGGTGTCCCAGTGGTATCTTGCGGTGCCCCGTGGTGTCCAGAGGTGTCCCGCGGTGTCTCGCGGTGTCCCGCAGTGGTGCCCCGATCAATCATGAGACCGATAGTGAGATTGATAACGACCGAGATGTGGTGAGATCCGTAGTGAGATCGATAGTTGAGTCGATAGTGAGATCGATAGTTGCATCGATCGTGCGAGCGGCAGCGAGATCGATAGTTGCATCGATAGTGCAATCGATAGTGAGATCGATAGTGAGATCGATAGTGGAATCGATTGCGAGATCGACAGTGGGATCGGCAGTGGGATCGACTGAGATCGGTTGAGGTCGGTCGAATGAGGTCGATTGCGGGGTCGATCATGACATCACATCGCAGCGCAACATCGTCATCGCGCGTCGTCGCCAACGCGAGGGCGCGCCACGATCATCGTCATCATCACACCCATTGCAGTTGCCAGCAGCTGTTGTTCTCCTCCCCCCAACCTCCTTATCACCCGAAGGGTGGTCGCATAGATATTCAAATGGAGAAGAGATGCAGGATGAGTGGAGGAGGAGGAGGAGGAGGAGGAGGAGGCCGAGGGCGAGGGCGAGGACGAGGACGAGGACGGAGGAGGAGGAGGCGAAAAAGGAGGAAGAGGAGAAAGAGAGGGAGGAGCGATAGGAGGGGGAAGAGGAGGATTACGGTGCAACCCGTGGGGGTAAGGAAGGTTGCCAGAGGGGGTTATAGCAAGAGGGGGATCATCCTCCCTCCATCCTCACTCGCCCTTAGCCCGAACATTCCTGACAGGTCCTTCGCCCTTCTGCTGGCCCTCCTCCTCCGCCTCCTCCACATCCTTGCTTTCTTCCTCCTCCTCCTCCTTCTCCTCTTCCTGCTCGCCCTGCTCCTCCCCTTCCTCCTCGTCATCCCCCCCCCCGAGGCCGCGCTGTATGTCACTCCTCTTCATCACCCTGCCCCTCTTCGCCCACGCTTCCTGATCTGAGATGGCAGCAACGCCTGGCCTCCCCCCCGCCTCCCCCCCTTCTCCCCATCAACACATCCCAGTCCCCCGCGTCCCTCCATCTTTCTCCGCATCCCCCCGGCCGCGAGCTTGGTCATGGCCCGTCTCGTCTGGGAGATCCGTCGGCTGGTCAGGAGGTCCATGAGAAAGAAGTTGAATGGGTGCAAAGCCAGGGGGGGAGAACACAGAGAGGAGGAGCATGCGAGGAACATGGTGGACGAGATGGGGGAGGAGGAGGAGGAGGAGGAGGAGGAGGAGGAGGAGGAGGAGGACAGAGGAATGATGAAGGAGATTGGAAGAGGAAGGAAGAAAAAGAGAAGGAGGGAGGAGAGACGAGGAGAATGAGGGCGTGCTGGATAAAGGGATGGAGGAGGAGAAGGAGGTTGCGGCAAAAAACGAGCCCCAGCCAAGCGAAGCGGAAGGAAAGGAGGGGGGTGGTGTTGCCAGGTTTTGTCAGGGCTTCTGAGCCTCAATTCGCCGAAGCGTGTCAGCCCCCAGCCATCTTCTCCCACCTCTGCTGCACTGCAAGCCCCTTGTCCTGCTCCTACTCCCCCCCTCTTCCTCGCACCAACACCGCAACTGCTTCGCCGATGCGGGAGGTCTGCCAACATGCGACGCTCCCCGCTGGGCGGGAGGGAACCCAGCACAGCGTGGTCCTCGGAGGATCTGTCGAGCGGGGCCCGTGAGGCGACGGGCCCCCGTGCAACGTTCCCGGGGTGCGTCTGTGCTGCCTCGTGCAGCGCAGACGTTTTCACGCAGCTTGGATCTCGGCCGAATCCCGAGAGGAGCTTGGAGGAGGAGGAGGAGGAGGAGGAGGAGGAGGAGCGGAGGAGGAGGATGAGGAAGAGGAGGAGCAGGAGAAAGAGGAGGAGGAGGGGGAGGAGGCGTCTGCCGAATCCCATCTCTTAGACGAAGTGGTGTGCGGAATCGGTATGTTCACTTCGGGCCGGCCCCCCTACAGGGGGATCTTCGACGAAAGATAAGAAATACCCCCAACAATGCCCCCCAAAGGCCAACAAATACACAAAAAATAGTCCCCAGACTATTTTTGGAGTATTTGTTGGGCATGTTTGTTGTATTTCCTGTATTTGTCGTCGAAAATCCCCCTGTAGGGGGACAGGCCCGACTTAACGTTATGTCGACTTCGATCCCGCAAGATCGACTTCGGTCGAAACTGTTCGTGGGAAAGATCGATTCGGTCGAGGCTGTTCGACTTCGGTTGACTTATGTCGACTTTTCGAAAGATCGACTTCGATCCTGAAAGATCAACGTTCGTGGGAGCCCCCAGCGAAAACCGCGCTTTCGACTATTCGGGCTGCCGCAGTCAATATTTCACACGCCAGACGGGTCGCCCGAGTCGAAACGCCAATTCCGCTTGAGATTTCCTCCATAAAAACAGTTTCGACCGAAGTCGAGATTTTCGAGTTCGAAGGGTCGAAGTGGCTATTCCGCCAAATACTGCCTTCAAAGCAGAAGTCGAAACCCTTTCGCTTCAAAAAATCTGAATGGCGATTCCGCCCAGGACTTCCTCCAAATCGGAATTTGAACCCTACCGGGTTCGACGGCGGACAACAAAAGTCGAAACCTATTCGGGTCAAGTCGAAATGGCGATTCCGTTCGAGAAGATTTCTGAATCACAATTTGAACCGTGCACGGTTCGAAATTGAAATGGCAATTCCGCCCAGTATTTCTTCCAAATCGACGGTCGAAGCCTTCTCGGCTCGAGGCGGACTTGCCGATGGGGCCCAAGACTTCAATCAATTCGCAGGAGATCTTACAAGACGATGGAGGCCCGACCTCCGCTTCCGGCAGGTAGCACGTATTTTTTCCACGTTGCAGGATTCGGGGGTCCCCAAACGGGATGGTGACCCCACCATGCGGTGAGTCGGTGGGGCTTCGGGGTCCCAGCACGGTTTTGGGACTCGGGTCGCTCTCCGAGGACGTCTCGGGCGACAGGGGCCTCCGAGGTCCCAAGACCGTGCGGTGACGGACCGTGCGGTGAGGTCTTGGGGGATTTCGAGGTCACCGCACGGTCCGTCACCGCACCGTTTCGGGACTCCAACTGTCAGGAGGGGAAAAACACACAGACACAATGAACCGTCGATTCCCAGGAAAATATGGAAAAACATGGGAAGTGGGGGGGAAGACAAAAACCCAGAAAATATAGGAACATATGGGGAAGCCTTTTTATTTGCGTGTATTTATTTGTGTGTCCCAGGCCCCCTTCAAAAAGGATGCCCGCGGGGCCGTGAAGATCTTTGCGCGTCGCGTGGCGTGGTCTCGGGCCGGGCGGTCGGCCTCCTCACACGGTGGCGGGGCGCGCGGGCGCGAGGGTGGCTGCGTTTCGTGCAGCGCTCCGCGC